ACTCAATGTCGCTGCTGTCACTGGTCGTGCACAAGGATCAGTTGGTGTTGATCCGGATGTTCTAATTGCAAGGGACCAAAACCGAGATAATTTGCTACAAAACCTTGCTGCAGTGGTTGAGAACAGAGACAAGATATTAGTGGAAATGTCCAGGTTGCTTATTCTGGAAAGCAGGTTTCGTGGTGGTAGCAACTTCAACTTAGAGGAAGCCCGTGCTAGTCTGGAGGCAAGTTTTGCCAATGAAGCTGAGATTGTTTTCACTACTGTTTCAAGCAGTGGACGCAAGTTGTTCTCTCGTCTAACTCATGGTTTTGACATGGTTGTGATTGATGAAGCGGCTCAAGCTAGTGAAGTTGCTGTACTGCCCCCCCTTTCTCTTGGTGCAGCACGTTGTGTTCTTGTGGGGGATCCTCAGCAGCTTCCTGCTACTGTCATCAGTAAGGCAGCTGGAACCTTGCTTTATAGTCGAAGTCTTTTTGAGAGGTTCCAGCAAGCAGGCTGTCCAACAATGTTGTTATCTGTTCAATATAGGATGCACCCACAAATTAGGGATTTTCCTTCTAGGCATTTCTATCAAGGACGGCTTACAGATAGTGAAAGTGTTGCCAATCTTCCAGATGAGAAATATTACAAAGATTCTTTACTGAAGCCTTATATCTTCTATGATATCACACACGGTCGAGAATCTCATCGGGGTGGATCTGTCTCTTTTCAGAATACACAAGAAGCACAGTTTTGTCTTCGTCTATATGAGCACCTTCAGAAAACAATAAAATTATCAGGAGTGGGAAAAGTATCTGTGGGTATAATCACTCCATACAAGCTGCAACTAAAATGCCTACAACGGGAGTTCAAGGATATTTTATATTCGGAGGAAGGGAAAGACATCTATATTAATACAGTGGATGCTTTCCAAGGCCAAGAACGTGATGTCATTATTATGTCTTGCGTTCGAGCTTCTAGCCATGGGGTTGGGTTTGTCGCAGACATTCGGAGAATGAATGTTGCTCTTACTCGAGCAAAAAGAGCTCTTTGGGTATGCTTTATTTCGTAAAGTAAATTTATGTGTGTGTTAATGCATGTGCAATTATGAGTGGAATGCCTAATTATTTTTCCTTCTGATTACTGACAGGTCATGGGAAATGCCAGTGCGCTGATACAGTCTGATGATTGGGCTGCATTAATTGCTGATGCCAAAGCACGGAAGTGTTACATGGACATGGATTCTCTACCTAAAGATTTCTTTGTGCCGGAGTCTTCTACTTATGGTCTCTTACCTCCCAAGAGTTCTAATACTAGGGGCTTCAGATCTGGACCAAGATATAGATCATATGAGTCACACATGGAATCCAAGTCAGGAACACCGTCAGAAGATGATGAGAAGTCAAATACATCTTCAAGTTCTAGGAATGGTAGTTATCGACACTTGAGGCCAGGAACAGAGAATGGCTTGGATGATTTTGATCAATCTAGTAATAGATCTCGAGATGCCTGGCAATACGGCATTCAAAAGAAGCAAAACACCGCAGGTATCTTGGGAAAACAAGACTTATAGCAGCTGGCATGTTATTGTCTGCAAGACCCCTTCCGCCTTGTGGGATTGTACAATTTTTCTCCCATTCTGATCTCATGATCTGGTTATGTCGGAAAGGATAAGGCTGCCTCCTACTGGGAAAAGAATTTACGAGATAGTGGCATCCAGTTTGCTCATCCAGTATTTGCAATGCGGTAAGACTGAGCTAATTTTTTTTTCCAAGTGCTACTTTCTGGATGATCTTTCTCATATCCGAAGCCTTCATCACTGGATATAGAGGTAAGAATTTCTTAATACTTCCTGTGCTAGAATTTAGACTCAACTTTGCCAGGATCTTCACCAGTTATACTGCATTGTTCTTGCAAATTACGGTCTCAAATCTGATGTAATCAATCATCTTCGAGGTGGGTTGCTGCTTAAAAGTTGATTCATCGAAGTTGAACAATGGTTTAGGCACCATTTTCTTCATGGCATGGATAAATGTTTTATACTATGCATGGGCATGTCTGCCTTCTTATGGAAGTATAAATGCGGAACTTGGCATGGTACTCGGAGTGCTGAGAGGTGGAGCTCTCGCTGTGTAAAAAGTTAGCATAGACATATTCTCGATGTGTTCAACTACAACTTTAGTTAATAGGCTAAATGGCTGTTATTCGATTTCTTAAACAGCCAATATGATCCTTGCGAATGAGATAAAATGTTGCCGAATGGGTCATGCAATGGGCAAAATTTTGTACAGGATTCGTATGCCAGAATGGTCGTTCTGTGTGTGTATATGATTTCAATAGAAGTTATATACGCCTTTGTAAATGCATATATAATTGAACAATGGCTTTGCAATAGCATGTGCTATAATTATAAATTCAACTGTCACCGACCCAAAAAAAAAAGTTTCAAAAGCTGACTTTCGTTAGTAAAAACTAAAAATGTAACTTTACGTGACCCCAATATGCTTATTGTCTTATAAATGGTATAAAGTAAAACCGCTATAAGGGTAATAATGTTGATAATGAGAAAATTACGGTTTACTTAATCTATCAATAGATTCAATGAAATGAATGCTATCACGTCTTGAATTATAAATTACAATAATGACATAGCCTACTGATTAATATTATTCAAGAGATTATGTCTATTTAGAATGATAATAATTTTATATACATTACAAAAAATTATTGGGCGAGGTGGAGTTTGGTTTAAGTAAAGAGAAAGCGTCAGCAACTTTAAATATATTATTTTCAGAAAAAATAAATTGATAAAATAAAGATTATCAAGTGAAATGTTCTTTAATGCTGTAAAATGATGATTAACTATTTAATCTTATCTAATCTTGATGTAATATAGCCCATGTTTGGTGAAAATTAGAAGAGAATTTTATAACTAAGAGGATAACTATGACACATTTTAAAAGTAAGAATATAAGTTTCAAAATTCAAAAATAAGATATTCATTAAATTTTATTTATAATTTAATTAATTAAATATATTAAGATCACGGATCTATACAATTTGATCATAGATTCACAATTTAATTAGTCACATATTATTCTTCAGTCACAAATCAAAATTTTTTAATGTCACAAATTATTTTACGATCATAATTCCAAACTTTTGTAGGTCACAATTTATTCGTCCGTTGCCAATCAAAAATTTATACTTCACAATTTATTTAGAGGCCACATATCACAAATATTATGTATTACAACTTATTAAACAATTTCAAATTATTAATTTTTTAGATCGCACATTATTTTTTATCACAATTTATCTTTCTTATTGGTCACATATTAACCAATTCAATGGTAACAATCAACCAATTAATCTGTGACCACCACCAAACAACCACTGCCTCCAACATCACCAACGCCATCGTCATCGCCAAAATCACCACCCTACAACAGCGCCACTGTCTCAAACAAAATTGACACATCACCGCCACACACCCTCCACACCATCACCCAATAGCAACACCCCCACACCACAGACACCCCCACGGCACCATAACCACACCAACATAGCCTAACAACGCCGCCACCACCCAAAATCACTGCACAACCACCGCAATCATAAAAAACAATCACATCACACCACCAATTGCAGTCGAATTTGAATCTGTATACTACTACCTACAGCTGTCAACTCCAACACCAACACCAACACCAGATTTCTCTAACGAGCAATAGCTGTGTCTCCCAACCTACCAATCCAACATCGTCACCACCATTACCATACACAGCCTTTGCCAAATCTTCCACCTCTCACGAATGGGTAACCAACACCGCGCATTCATACCTCAAATTAACAATCCAGTCGACCAGCAGTAGTGATAGGGACAAAGTCGCCCTGCAACATTCACATCGTGCGATGCGACACGTCGTCTTCACTATTGCTTCACTCGTCACCTAGGATTGTCAACGAGCCGAGCTGAGTCGGCTGGCGAGCCGAAACTTGAGGCTCGAGCTCGGCTCAGTTAAAATTGTCCAGCTTTTTTCGGGCCCGAGCCGGGCCGAGCAAACGTTCGCCCAAAAATTTTAGGCTCGACCATTTCGGCTCGGGCCTTTTCGAGCCGAGTTGGGCAGCCCATTTTTCTACCCCTTTTTTCCTCTAAGGCAGCATTTTACTGCCATAATTTTATTATTATTATTATTATTATTATTATTATTATTATTATTATTATAATAAGGGCTCACGAGCCGACTCGGGTAAAACCCATTGGTTCGGGTCTATCGAGCCTCGAGTTGAGCCGGCTCGGGCTTTTTGCGGGTCGAGCAACGGGCGGCTCGAGCTGAAGAGCCGGATTGACATCCCTACGTGACAACTTGGCAACGATCGTGATTTGAGGAAGAGAGTCCAATGGTGTCGAGAATGGAGAGGAGATGGGAGAAAAAAATAATTTTAGGGTTTGAAAATATTGATTTATGATAATATTTTTGATTTATAATAAGTAAAAGTGACTTGATGTTTGAAATGTAGATTTTTATAGTAGGGTTTCCTGTAATTTTCACAAATTAAAATTTAGGTCAATGTAAATAATTAATTTTAATAACATATTTTATGGGTTTCACAATTTTTTAGTTATATATTTCATCAACTTCTATTAAAATTCTAAAATTTTGATTTTAATCCCGCAAGGGGCATATTGTCGATCTCATAAAATCCTGTACCCCTACTGTTATAGTAAATTTACCAGTTGGAGTCTAAAAATTGTATTCTTTTTTAGATTATAACTTGCCCCGTAATCTGGATTAAAATCAAATTATTAATAAATTTTGATAAAAATGAATGAAATGTAGGTTTCGTAGAATATGTGATCAAAATTAATTATTGATTTTGATTTAATTTTTACCAAACATGACGGATGCCGTCCAAAAAATTTATTATTTAATAAAAACCTTTTGTCCAGTTTTGCAGGAAGCTAACCAGGACAATGTCAGAATCTGCAGAATTTCCCACATGGTATGCGCCATTAAGAATATAAAACAATATAATTTTGTATTATGGTCAATACATCCGTCAAAACCAATGCTAAAAACTCTTCTCCCTCTAATTAATTCAAGCACACCATTGTCTTTGTTGACCATAATTTCCCATTTCTCTATTTCACCAATAGTACAGATCCTTGATTCTTATTCTAGAGCTCGCGCAACTCAAGAAACAGGTATTTTTTCTATTGTTGAAAAGTTAAACATCTATTATCTTGATTTTCATTATTATAAGTTTGCAGTTTTTTCTGTTTATCCATTATTTACTGGTGCCTATTTTTCGAAGAGGATTATTTCTTTTTATGCTTGCTTTTTTGGATTTTGTGGAGTTTGTAATTAAAATGAAAACTAACTGTGCTTTAGTTGAATTGGTTGATATTGATCATTTCTTGAAGTGCCGATTTTGGGTTCTTGGTTGACTTTATTGTTTTCTTCTAGATTTTTGAATTGAATTCTTGAAGCTGACATTTAGCGTTTTCTTGTTGAATCTTCTGAATATATTCAGCTTTGGTAAATTTATGTCGCTTCAACAATACTAAATCGGGGGTGGTGGTGTTCGTTTTCTTGATAAATTCGTTTCTTTTTTATTTACTTCGCTTGGAGCCTGAACAATTATAAATGACAATGTTGAGAAAATGTAATGTATGTACTGGGAATCCCGTCACTGTACTATTTATCTGAATTGCATAAACTGGAGATGTTCTTCAATGGATCTTCCATGGATCAAAGTTACGATACATAAAAGAACACAATAAAAATATTCCCAGACTTAAATTTGTTAATTCAACAATTTACAAGAAGAATATGATGGCCATTCATTCAGCTTTTCTAGTTTTTCTCGTGGCAGAGGTGTAGGAAATATTTATTTATTTTTGTATAATTTAATAGATTATGATATCAGTTCAAGTTGAATCACGAGGAAAATAATTGAAGGACTTGAGAAATTGAGATTCCTATGGTATTGAAGGCAATGAGCCCTGGACTAAATTACTTTCAGTAAAACGAAAGGAAAACATGGAGAAAATATGGATAATTTTCATTAATTGGCATTGCTACTTTCACTGAAACTATTAGGAATATACCAGTGCGGTTATCCACATTGGCATGTTTATTGCAAAAGAAAAAAGAGTAATATGATTGCACCATAGGCCGGAAACTTCATGTCAACCCCATTTCTTTACTGTAGTACAAGGTCTATCTGTGGGTTTGATTCTACGTTCTTTGGTTTGTTTCTCTAACTTATCTTACTCTTTTTCCAGAGAGAATCTTAATTACTCGGGAGAATAATTCCTACCAAAGCATTGAGAATTATGAGTTCTGAGTCGAATAAAACAGCTCCAAATTTCAGTGACAATTCTTTGGAACCAGAAGTGCAGCAGGGAAAGGTATTTTCAGTCCCTCGTAAACCATCGTTGAAAAACATTATTATTTAGTGCTGATGAACCTATTTTTGTTTTCAGATTAACGAGGTGAAAAGGTTAATTGGGCCACAGTCTGGTAAATTGGCTCTTTATTGTTCCGATGCATCCATTTCAAGATACTTAAGGGGACGAAACTGGAATGTTAATAAGGCAGTTAAAATGCTTAAAGCGACCCTAAAGTGGAGAATGGAATACAAACCTGAAGAAATTCGCTGGGTAATGTCTACTTATCCAAATACTCTAACTGGAATGCTTTTCTTCCGATCTTCATTTTTCTGTAGTAGGCCTTTTCAAGTTTTTGACGGTCTATGCATTGTTAGCATTCGTTTCGGAAGTTCTTATATGTTTTTCTGAGTTGTTCTGTTCATGCACTCCTCTTAGTACTAGTATTTTCGAGACTTTCTCTTTCCCACTGTAGATTATTTATGAATAACTGGTTGATTTTTCGAGTTTATGACTGTTCATTGTTGTCAGAAGACTCTAAATATGTTCTCTGGTTAATGCGTCTTAATTTGTGATGAAGGGCGATGTTGAAAAGGAGGCAGAAACTGGAAAAATTTACAGGGCGAGTTATAAAGATAAGCACGGAAGGCCAGTTCTGGTCATGAGGCCTAGGTGCCAGGTCAAATCCGATAATTCCTCCTATTCACAAAACATATGATAGTTCTTATAAGTAACTCACTTATTTCCAACAAACTTTAATTGTTTACTTACAACTAAAATATTAAGCTTGGCAAAAATGTCTGTCCTGTATTTTTACTCAAAATTTTCAAGTTTTATATCAATGCAGAACACAAAATCAACAAAAGGCCAAATTAAGTATTTGGTTTATTGCATGGAGAATGCAATTCTAAATCTTCCTCAAGACCAGGAGCAGATGGTCTGGTTGATTGATTTTCATGGTTTCAGTATGTCGAATATATCAATAAAGGTAACACGGGAAACAGCTCACGTCCTCCAAGAACATTATCCCGAGAGACTTGGAGTTGCAATTCTATATGATCCACCGAAGATATTCGAACCATTTTGGACGGTATTTTCCCTTATACTTCTTATCGTTCTTACACACATCTTCCATTCCAGTACATTGTGACACTATTATAAATTTCATTCACATCCATTATGTTTTATTTGAAACCCTGTTATAATGATTTGTTTCAACAATCACGTTTGGCTAAGCTGTTAAAATGTATAAGTTACTTTTAAACAACTTTTTTATCCAAGTAAAACTTTTAAGCCTAATCAAACATGCTCCTGGTCGACCAGGTTGCGAAACCTTTCCTAGAGCCTAAAACTGTTGCCAAAGTCAAGTTTGTTTACTCGGACAACGCTAATACAATGAGCATCATGGATAATTTGTTCGACATGGAAGTGGTGGAGTCTGCATTTGGCGGAAAAGATGATATGGGTTTTGACATCAACAAGTATGCTGAGAGGATGAAGGAGGATGATAAAAAAATTCCTTCGTTTTGGACAACTGATAATAATCTGGCAGCAACATCACTTCCTGCTGCCCCCAGTTTAGATCCCACTAATTCAGAGCCAGAATCCGATGCGCCTGAAGAAAAAGCAGACAAATCATCGTCTCCTAAGGATAATGGAGATGACACATTGGCAAATGAATCTCTACCTTCGAAACAGAAGTGAGGTAATTCCATACGGTTCCTAACTGTGTAATAATTTTTGTTTAGCGATAATTTTGACTGTTCGACTAGGACTGCTGGCACTATCATCGTATTCTTTGGTTTCTACTTTTTCTGGACAAGAAATGTGTCTTGTAGCCAATGTAATTGGACTTCTGCAGTTCAATAACTGCTTGGTTTTACTGATCTTCTGTTGACATGGTCTGGTGCTCCTTATAATGGGAAGTTCTTGAATAAAGCATATTCATGAAGTTTCAAATTTGGCTTCTGTTCTGGACTCTGAAAGAATTTTAGATTGTTTAAGCTTGACTTATATTCTAAACCAGTGGTCTCTTCAATTATACGATACCGCCAATTCACGTGCATATCCCTGAAACAGACGCATCATTTATAGATTTGAACAACAAAAGATTCACGCAGCATTGAGATTCTTGTCAAAAATCATAAACATTCACTCAAAATAACATCATATTACTCCCATTTCTCATATAATTGTGCATCGTCTTGCCGAAGAAAACTGCATTTCAAAATCCAAATTCACAGACGAAAAAGCCATTACAAGGGCATTTCGGCATCCATGACACGTACTTCTCTTATCATTAATCAAGAGTCGTTTCAACTCTATATTACAATACAGAATTCAAGTATTTCTATAGTAAAACTTTTAAAAGGTGCAAGTGAAACAACTAAGCTATATCAGGACATACAGGAGGTACAAAAACCAGGACTAGAGTGTCTGCAAATGCATTTCTTTTAGACTTTGAATAGGGAGGAGTTAGTAGAAACCAAACGGAAGGCAAGCAGCAGCAAAGGAGAGGACAGCCTTGGAGTTGAGGCTAAAGAGTTCAAGTGTAGAAGACCCGTAAATTTTCTCATACCTCCAATCTAAGATTGAAACTTCTCGTCCAACCTTTGCCTGTATTGAGCCAACCTCTGCAAATATGAATTGAATAGAAAAAGGGATAGTAAATTGCAAAAATTGATACAGGATGCACTGAAATTGTAGTAGGTTTATTTGTTTGTCTAGGTCAACATAAGATAGATATAAGCCAAAAAATCTTTTAACGGATTCCTTTCAGATGGTGGTCTCGGAAAAACCCACACACCTTAGTGTAAGCATAAACGCCTGCTTCATTTGGCGCCACAGGGCTGCCTCTTCGAATAAATTTTCCCTCTTTAAAAATGTAAAGCATCGGTATCCCAGTCGATAACTCCAAGCTAATAACCTAACAAAAGGAAAGACACAAACCGTTCAGTTATAAGTGGAAGAAAATGGCAGAAACATTCAGCAAGTTCAAATCCCTACCTCTTGCGAAGTCAGTTCGTCCAAATACATGATGATTGACCTCAGTGAATTCCCGTGCGCAGCAATCATTACATTTTTCCCACATAGAAGTTGGGGCTCAATCTTGATCATTAAATATTAAGTGAGGACCATGAATAAGCGGATAGAACTAAGCAAATAATCACATATATGAGAGGATGAATTTGTTGCTCTTACATGATCCGTAAAGTACGCAACAGCTCTCTCAGCGCACGTTTCCAAGCTCTCGCCGTTTGGTGGAGGTGTATCATAACTGCGTCGCCATTCATGAACTTGCTCCTTCCCATATCTTTCAGCAGTTTCCTGTTTATTGAGACCTTGTAATTCCCCATACCTGTAGAGAAGCAATATTTGGTTAAAATCTTATAATGTGGCCAACCATCATAAATCAAGATAAAAAAATTGCCAAAATGATATAATTACATTCTTTCATTTAGTTGCCAAGCTGTTACAACTGGAATGCACTGTTTATGGGTATCTTCACTGAAAATTTGACTCCATGCTTTCGCTTGCTCACTTTCATTGTGCAAAATAATAGGAACCTGCATAGACATAAATTAGTCTAAAAGAACCTCAAGGAGTCAAAACCTATAAATTTATTCATAACCATAAAAACCTGAAAAATTTCCTTGAGTCCGAAAAAGGATTTTTAAATCTTCCCTGCCCCAAGTAGCTAAATTAAGATGGTGTGTTTTTTTTATAAAGACCCAGATCATGCCCAAGCGATTATATCATACGTACTGTCCTCTTTGGAAGGATCTCTGCCCTCTTACAGCTCACGACTTTCATTTGCGTTCCTCAAGATTCGAACACTTGACCTCCCTTAAGAGAGACTTAAGTTGAATCCTAGTACCAATTGGGTAAGAAGGCAGAGGCCCAAAGTGGAAAGTATGTACGATATAACGGTTTGGAAGCGAGGCCTAGGTTGTTAAAAAAGTCTAGTTATCCCGAGCACTCAATTCTCCTTAAATACTTAGCACAGAATCTCATCAGTTACTGATGAAGATTACATGATGTGAAATCTCACTGAAAAAGAGGTACAAAAGCTCCTCGTCCATGAGGGGAACAAACGAATTTATATAAATTGTTCTAGATGTGCCACTGCAGACTCGATACACCTTTTTATGAAAGGACTGACTCAAGCACAATTTTATAAACTATTGGCCATGAGACTTAAACTTGTTTCTTTGCTCTCATCTAAAAGTTTAAGATCTTAGAGGGGACAAACTAATTTACTTAAATTATTTTCAACAAACTCCACAGGCAATTTACCTTCTTGCGACGGTGTTCAGTCATGACAAGCATGGCAGTCATCTGCGCACGAATCAAAGCAGATGTATAGATTATATCAACAGGAATGCTGCTGATTCTTTTGCCAGCTTCGATAGCCTCTTCTACACCCTTCTTGGTTAGTGGCACATCTACACAACCTGTGAACAAGTTCTTCTCATTCCACATGGATTCACCATGCCTAATCAAGATCAATGCAGCTTCACCTGGAATAAAAAATAGACAAGAGGACCTTAAGAAATGTTATGAAAAAAGGCCTTCATCTTCTCCAACAACAATGAAAAGCACAGCACTATAATTTGATTCTCCTAAAAATAAAATCTAACAGAGAAAAATATACTTGATTTTTTTCCCGAGTCACTTGTTGCTCCATTTGATGGAGAAGAAACAGAACCGAAAATTGTAGTCTGAGAAGTTGAGGCCTCAATAATGCTAAAAGTTCTCTTCCTAGAGCAGTAAGTTCGTCTTCCCAACAGATTGATATCTAGCTTAACACCTTTCGATATCAACCTAAATGAAGCATTCCCATTTTCCTGACTGAGACCCGAAACACCAAGGTAACAATTGGATTGAAGCGTAGCAAGTGCTTGGTGAAATACAGTTGCAGCCATTCTGCAGTGAAACCAAAATAACAGGATAAGTCAAAATACAGCTATTTTCAGTTCTCAAACTGTATATGAATACTAAAATTCAAGAAATCGGCATCTATTTTGAGGTCTGACTTATTTGAGAATCTTACACGCTTGATACTTAGACATGGAAAAAATAAATAAAAAAATAAAAAAATGGGAGAGAGCTCTTTCATTCTCTTTATTTTCATAATCATTAAACCAGTACATTATTGACATTACTATACTAAAAAACAAATGTAATCTTAACAGATCATTATCCAAATAATCAAAATCACCCATCAATGGAATACTTTAAACCTAACCAAACAAATTTAGATGCAATGAGAAATCAATAGCTACGCTTCCATAAAAAAACATAACATATATATATTCCTCAAATGGGCATTAAATCATGAAAAATATAGAAATTCGCAAAATGAGTAAATTAATATAATCAACAAAAAGCAGCCCATACAACACAAATTGTACAATTATCTTGAGAACACGTAACTTACATGAACAACTCGCTGACAAAACAGCAGTCAACATCCAAGGCAAATCAAGAAAATTATTTAGTAAATGGAAAATGATTAAGATAAGAAAAAAAAAAGAAAGGCAGAGATCTTACATTACTCTGTTATTAGTATAAATACGCAACACCGGAGGAATCAAGGATCAAATGCTTGGCCCGGTTTTGAAAGGAAAGAAGAGTTAATTACAAGGAAAGGTGGCAAAGAAAAAGTAGCATAAACATCAGTCAGAGGATATGAAGTTACTAAAAAAATAACAATAGAGAAAAGATGTGTTCTTTATGTATCATATATATTTACGAGTGTAATTTCTCTTGAAAGAAATCGAAATACATAGTGGTTTGTTGGGACTGTCTTCATAAAACGCCCCAAAATTTGTTGGCCTTTTGGTGTTACAAGCGGACGGAAAAATCCTTTCTTGGCTTCTTATGTTTTATATTTAATATAAGCTAGTAATTGTGAGTTAATTTCTGAAACTGGGATAGGGTTAGGTTTGAAGATTAATTGTGACTTAATTTCTGAAATTGGTTGAAAGTTAGGGTTGAATATGATAAACTGAGGATTAACTGTTCTAAATTGTTCGTTGACAAAAATAGTATTTCACACAATTTTTTTTTTTTTTAAACACATAATTAGGTTTTAAGTGTAACATATTGTTGTTTGGTATACGGTAGCAATTAACAGTGACATGTAAGATCTTACGATTGTCTCTAAACTGAATGAGAACTGCCCTACCATGCGAGGACTAATTAAATAATAGATTTTTAATAACAATCCTTCCGTTGAGATAATTGATAGTATTTTAGTATTTCTTTGCTCCCGTTTGGCTCTCATTTTGTAAAAATAAAAATTGGTAGAATAGTGTTTTTATGAAAAATGAATGGTTGAAAAAGAAGAAAAAAATTTTAATTTACGTTTAATATTATTTTATGAAAAAATGTGTTTGAAAATATAAGAGAGAAAAATGAAATATAATGAAATAAAAATTAAGGAATACCAAAGCACTTTTGGATAGGGACTACGGCCCTCGGGTAAGATAGATTTGAGGATCAATAAGAATTGAATTATTGTAAGCATACATTTCGTGAGTTACATCTTGGTTGAAATTGAGTGGGGATTCAAAAAGTGTTGGGCGAAGAAAAAAAAAAAGGCTCCAAACATGCATCGCAGTGTCAACCATGATGTCAAGAATAATGTAAATATAGCATGATTGATAAGAATTTTATATATATAACTATGCAATGATGTAATCGAATTGGATTTACCGATTAGTTCTAGTTCACAATAAAAGTATCAATGTGGAGTAATTGTTGAAAGCTTATACAATCGTGGCAAGTATTTAACTTCCCCGCTGCTTAAAATTTCCTCGTGAATGAGAATCGAAGCAAAATCAATTCTCGAATCTAAAACTCAAAAACAAAAACAAAAAAATTTAAGCATCCAAACTAAAATGTTTCAACTTCTCAATATTTTATTTTAATTTCCATTATTTCTTTCGAAATTGAATTATTTAATTGATTAGAATTAATCAGTTATTCTACTATTTTCATTCGTAACGGGGGACGTTGAAAAAATAAAAATAAAAATCAAGAATCAATCTTCAAAACATCTACAAGAGTTGGCACACCATTCAAATACTGAAATACATATATCTAGTTCAACACCCCTCTCTAAATCAATAATTAATCCATTTTTTACGAATCCCGTTTTTACTAAATTAGAGGTAACCAAGGAACATATAGATCCCCAAAAAAACATAGTTTGACATCCAAAAAGGACTTCATGGCAGAGGGTTTATCATACCCCCACAAGTCATAAATGAATGAACAAATACCAAACAAATAAGCTATTGAAGATGGCTCATAAAACATCACCTAACTCCACCTTCGATGTGGTTTAGTTTTGAAATGACATGCTTTCGTCTTTACTACTAAATTTGTAGGCCTCCATTTTCAACTCAACTACCCTCACAGCAATAGCATTTTGGGGGGTTGGCCTTGACCTCGACCTTTTCAACATGTTCAAGACAGGGACTACAATACTAAATTAAATAAAAAAAATAGAAGAATATGCTCTCGCATTGATCTTTCCCAGCTTCTATATGTCATCAACAAATAGCATACAAGAATAGACTTGAAACGTTGTTGAAAAATCATTCTCAGTAAATAAAAATAATAAAAAGTATATTTAACTGAAGTTCCCTCCCCTGTTAGTATTCAAGAATTTTGCTACTTTACCCAAATGGTTGACATCCTCTCACATGCCATGGGTCTTGCGTGAACAAAAAAGTCCAAAAAATAAGTAGCGCACCACCATTGTGAGAAGCAGTCACCCCATCTGTCAAAAAAATTCAGGCACTGCAGCGAGACTGTAATATTCATATAAGGCGACAGCCATGTGCATCTAAATCTTGAGAGTTTCCGGAGCTCCAATCCAACTTGCAAAATAGCTATACAATTTGAGAACCATATGAGCTACAAACACAAGAATTAAAGATTATGCACTCATGCATTATATGGAACTCGTAAATGTCATGTCATGCTCATTCTTTTCATAAACACTTTTAAGTAAAAATTCCGTAAACAGATGCAGCCAACCCATGCTTCTCAATATTGTAATTCATTTTGAAACCTTGATCTCATAAAAATATATTTTCATATGCCGTGACCAAATTTATACTCAAAAAGCTATCATCAAACAATTATTGGATAACTTCAAATTGTATTTAAACCTTGAAGATCTAATTAACTAAATTGTTTTCATAAGTATCCAATCACGCAGGCATTAGCCCATTATTTCCAGCTGCAAGATAACCATAATACTGGTTAATAGCTCCGAAATCATCATAAATCAACACCAGAGTCATCCCACACTCCCATAATGTCACATTAACATTATCATCATTGTGAGATTATAATCTACGGCATTATTGATCTGATCAAATCATGATTATCATAAAGATCAGAAGCACTGTAGAGTACTTGTAATATCATATAATACTTGTCATTACCATCATAATATCAATGAGTTGCCATACCATCATCATATCTTTGTACCTTATGATTATAAAACATATCATTGGCATCGTGAAATTATATGACATATCTCGTCATCATACAATACGCAACAGAGAATTATAATTCAAAATGTGTTAATAATAATTCAAAACAAGTTTGTCATGACACCCCACACATTACCAGTAAAATTGATGAAAATTATAACACAATGTATTGTTTATTTAAGCACTTATATGACCTTGTAAATAGCTTTAATCTCATGGAACTTACATTAAACCTAATTTCTCCATCAGACCCCTGGCAATGCGGAAAATCTTTCAGGTTCATGCCTCTTGAGTCTGTTGCTGTTTTTCTCCTTAATTTGGTCGTCGATCACATTCAGCAGTCAGCACCACCATCACACATTTACAAGCTTTGCACGTCGTGTTTCAGGATCCACTTCTACTCGGAGACCTAGTTGAGCAATTTCAGGCACATCTACAGATCCTTGAAGTTCCAAATTGGCAACAACTTGCTGGTTTTCTCTATTCCCTTCCAATATATTTCTTACCGACCAAATTCCCCACTCCCTCAAGAATGGATTATCTTCATCGGAGACACACTGTTGTAGTAACAGAAGGATCCCATCCTGCTCTCTTATTTTACTCTGAACATGTTTCCTGCGGTAGCTGCAATTTCCAATAATGGCCACAACATCTCTCCTAAAACCTTTGTAAGGGCAACGCTTGGATAAGCTAGACATTGTTGCTTCTTGGTTCTCACTCTGTCTCATTGTTTTCCTAATTATTAATGGAGGTTCTAGGTCCCGAAGCAAGCTTAAAAGCAATTCAATAAGCCCAGAAGACACTAACACATCCACAAGATCCCCAGAGACATCCTCATTAGACCCTTTAACACCGCCACAGGCACAGACATCTCTCAAAATGGTCAGGGAGTATCCTAGAACATCAACCTCAGCTAAGGCTGTAGGAAGACCAGACTTTGGTGTTTCAACAAAGTCAACAACCCCAACAACCTTTCTAAATATTCCAAGAACAGACAAAGCAAAATCATTGGACACTGTAACATCCATGATTCGCTCATTCAAGATTTCAGAAAGAACACTCAACAAAAATGCATGCTCTCCTCCGAAGTGGTTACCGGTGGATATATCACTATCAAAGTTCTCGGCTGAACTAACCAGGAATAATTTAGAGAAAATTGGTGCGAAGTAAGACTTGTCCAGGCAAATTGTTGAGAGAAGCAACTTCAGCCAATCTTCCTTAAATCCATCTGCTAAGACCAAAGCATATCAATGGAATTAAAAGTTTGTTTCAAAACAAATGATGTTTTGTGCTGTGGCATACTAATGCATAAACATATGTGTTATATTAACAATGTATACCTAATGTTGCGGTCCGTATAATTTCCACCACTAATTGTAGCCCTTGATCCGTAAACAGTTCGATCATTCGTTCATTATTACCTTCACAACATGTATAGATAACCATGCACAAAGGATCACATGTTTCTTTGCTTCGAACTTTAGCAATTTCCAAAAACTCAAGCGGAAAGAAATGTTGCCAAACAGCAAGCTGATGTTCTTCCCCAGCCAACGAGACATTTCCCAAAAGTTGCAGACTCAAACGAATAATCTCATAGTCAGAACCAGAAGCTAGAACTACAGCATTAAAGATACTTGAAACAATTCCAACACCAGTTTGTTCAATAAATAAGTTCTGATTATCTATTTCTCCTGCACACAGGTTTCTGAGCAGCTTTTGGGACAACAAAAGAAAGTGACGCAAAGGAGGGGAACATAGGGATTGACATAGCGTAAGGGTTGGCACCAAGGCATTCTTGGAAGCGAGGTCTGACCGGCCATCAGGAGTTCTAGAAATTTCAATGAGACGCACTAGCGCTTTTTCTAAAGTAGAAGAGTCAGATGCAACTAACAATGGCTCAACTACATCATGTGGCACACCAAGCTCTAACAATTTTCCACCATCCATGATTTAGTCAGATTGATGAATAGGGGTTGCTAAATTTGATCCTGCAAACAGGAAAAAGGGGACAGACAGCATAAATAAATAGTCTGTTCGGTAGAAAGTCAGCTAGTCATAACATCATTAAATTCAAAATTCTGTTCTCATCTTTCTTTTGGATAATTCACAATCAACAAATACAAAACAAAAAATCAACAAGCAGTGCCGGTCCTATGATTGTCGGGGCCTGAGGCAAAGTATGTAAATTAGGCCCCCCGGCCCCGGCGAAAGCAACATAAATGAAAAATTCAACGGTGTATTATTCGACCCACTGCTAACTTAAAAAACTAACACTAAAACAACATACATAAAATTTTTATTATCTAGATAATACATACAAAAACCTCTCTCATGTCTGTGCATTTTCAAGAAAGTAAACCTTACACTATGTATACAGTATATTATCTATAAAATACATACAGAAAATTTTTATTTTTCTTCTGGAATTCTTGGAAACAAAATTTAAATAATTATGTTCATTAATTTCATATTACACTCCTTCACTAAAACCCGAGATAAACTTACAGTTCCAACTTATAGAAGGGGATAAACCCTGTATACTAACATTTTTCATGCAAATATCCTCAAATGGGGCACCTTCTATCCCCAGTAGCAAGGGAGCTTTTCTCGAATCCACACTAACCACATCAACTACAGAAACCCCTTGAACTTTTGGTAAGGCTTCAGGATCAAATTTCTCATCAGGGTGTCGTTTGCACCTCTACTAAACCTTATAGGTACTTTGACTCTCTCCATTGTTATGTTACGCATAGTGATATTCCTTATATACCCTCCTCTTCCCTTCTCAGTTTTTTTTCGCACCCCAGCCGCTGAATCTCTTATATATATAACGACCCAATTGCAGAAGCGGAGCTCTACCAACTGAGCTAAATCCTCTACAACAATATTTCTAACTCCACCGGACATTTCGCTACAAATTCCAACACCTGAACTACTCGCCCATTTCAATTTGCGAAACACCCTCTTCAAAGTTTAACAATCAACATTTGTCAGCCATTCCATTCCTAATTTCCCTTTCCTTTCCCAACTCTTTCCAAGAACATCTCTGAAATTCAAGAAAACTTCAAAACAAGAAGAAAAATCCTTCATAATGGACGAGACGACGAGTCACAAGCCTCTCTCCAATTAGAGTATACACCCACGGCCCACATAGAATAAAAAAGACCATTTATCAATTAAAATCAGGCCATCAAAATTATAATAAGTAAATGCCTAAATGTAAATGGTAAAAGTGTTGAACTCACTGGGGAAGGGAACTCGAACTCACTCGTTCGACAACAAAAATGCCCAGCCACTCGACAGAAGTCAGAAGCGATATGTCAGATCTCAGATGAAGCCCAGGTACAAAGAGCGCTTGAAAAATCACGCTTTGGCCTGTGGGCATTGGAGGCAGGACGCCACTCGGTGTTTGAACTCACTGGGAGTCTGAGAAAGTGGCCAGTGGGACTCCAGGCTCCAGCGAACTGAGCGAAGCCAACTAGCCAAGCCAAGAAGAGGAAATCTGGGATTCTGAAAATGGAAGTCCGGAACTGCAAGGAGAAATCGAGCGAGAGAGACGGAGACGATTTCAATTTGGGATTTGGGAATTTTGGGTAAATAGATAATCGATTATGGGCTTGAGCTTGAGGTTGGGGGTTTTGGGCTGTTCTTGGCCTCGGGCTGCCATTGTTAAAAATAATAATAATAATAATAATACTAAATAAATAAATAAAAATATGAGGTCCCCCGAATTTTGGGCCTGAGGGCAGCCCTCAACCACCTGGTCTCAAGACCGACCTTGTCAACAAGTACAATTTTAATTACATTCACACGTGAACCTAACCATCTTAGATAACAATTTTCTTTAGTTTCATGATTTCATCTCTAAAAAGACTAAAATGCAAGTGTTGATGCATAAATTACACAAAATCTATATAATAAGTTTGTGAAATATCATTATCAGAAACACAAAATAAGAATAAAACATTAAAAAAAATTTGAGCTGAATACTTCAACGTGCTGCCAAAATCTGATCAAAATTCTGAGTCTAGAAAGGAAAACACAATATATTGACATGGTGCAAAAATCAACATGATTATGGGTTTTTTCATAATAATACATTCAGAATTTTGTCACTGTTTTAGGAAATTTAAACAATTCATAAACATATAAACAATTCAAACACATCGACAATATCAACATATGTACACACATACACGTGTATATGTAGAGAGCAAACCTTGCCAGCAGAAGACTTGAGTCTGTAGGGTATGAAAGAAATGTACTACAAAATCACACGATTTTAGTTCGATTTCAGAGTGCCAAGTTTCTACTGGGATTTTAATTTGTAGAATAGGGTAATTGAGATGGACCGAGTCCTAACCCAAATCTTGAAAATTTCCTGGGCTATAATTTTCTATAAATTAACTTGTAAAAAAGACCATAGCTTTACAAATCTTGTTAGGTATCTAAGATTTTGTCGAGTAAAGAAATTTTCTTTAAAATGGACCTTCTATATTTTCTTCTTTTAAATGCCTTAAAGTGCAGTATTGACTCGACATACAGGGGTGAGTAAGAATTAGTATGGTACGATACATATTCAGATTTCAGTCAATCACTATGGTCTCTGTTTTGTCTCTTCTTGAGCCTGCACTTGGTATATTTTCTCTTATGCAGTTCACCCAAGAGAAATCGATAAAGAGTCGTGATTGGTGTAGAGGATATATAGCTCAAGGCAAGGCCCTTTTTTTCTCTTTCCAATTTGCAAATGACTAGCCTCTGAAGGCATCAAAGTTTAAAAATCCCATATATTGTCCTACCATTACACCAGTAATCCACTCATCTCACTGAACGTCATTCCTGCTTTTTCCCAGTTCACTTATGAATTGATCAAAATTTAATTTAAATAACTTAAGCCAAACTACATAGATCAATCTGAGACAGAAGTAATACTATCCAAACATTTCAGTGTGTGTGTGGTGTGGTGTGTTGTGTGTGCGCGCTTGGGTGTTCACAATGACGATGGAGTGGTGTTGGCAGTGTGCGCCAACGGCGTTTCTCCATGGGCACTGCAGATCTGGTTAGGTGTGGTGGGTGGTTGATGGTGATAGTGGTGACGTGGGTGGTTGTTGGAATAGGATGTTGGCGGTGATGGTGTTATGGTGTTGGGGGCGGTCACAGGACGCGGGTGGTTGCAAGTGGCGATGGCGGATCTGTGGGTGGTGGTGCGTGGTGTCATGACAGGGTAGGGTGGGATAAACCGTGACCATAAAATTTGTGACTATTCAACTGTGGCCTTAAAATTCGACAATATGTGACTAAAAAATAATTTATGACCAATAAATTTTTAAATATGTGATCGATAGATAAATTGTGATCTATAATTTTTTTTTTATCTTTGACCAACGAAACAATCTGTAATCTGTAGAACTTTTGATTTGTGACCTTGATATAATATGTGACCAATTAATTTGATACTATGTGACCAACAAAATCATCTGTGACCTATAACATGTATATGTGATAATTAATTGTGTAACTGTGATCTTATTATATTTAAATAATAAATATATTTAATCAATTAATTAAGAGTTCTGCATTTTTAAACTTGACACCTGAAAATTGAATTGTGTCATACTTGACACCCGATGTGAACTTTTCCCTTTCATTTTTCTAGGTTTTATTTTGGTCTTGAGCTTGGGCTAATGACAATACGGGCTATTGTTAATCTTGATATTGGGCTTATACAGGTTGGTTGAGTCTCCGAAAGCTCCACTATCTATTGCCCGGCCCGAAAATAGGGAGAACCAAATCCCAACCCGTCCGCCAGTGTGGTGAAGGAAGACAAGCACTTACTCGTGCAAATGAAACAAGGATCAATCGAGGCCTTTACGAAGGTAAGAAATAACAATGATTGACGTAGAGGCCTTTATGTACAACTAAATCACGTTTTAAACAGATAAAATACATTTGTTCGAGTCACATTATTTTGAAAGAATATATTTTGAAACAATAGATTGATAAAGAATGTGTGGTTAAAAAATAAGGAAAATTTTTGGATTTACGTGTAATATTATTTTATTAAAGAATGTGTAATTGAAATGATATCTAATTACTGTTCAAGAATGTATTTTTTTGAAAAAATGCGGCTCAAACAAGGCCAAAATGCTAAGTTAAAAATGTTAGCTAACATTTACGTTTATGATTCTCTTTTCTCATTGATATAACGCAGTCCTCTTTTGTTATGATGTCTATTTTGCTGTTTGAAAAGCATCGTCAACGGGAGATTCAGCGATGGCAACTTACGGAGGAAGTTTAGATGATTGTGGAGATCAAAATTCATTCATTTTCGAAATGAGTATGGTCGAAAAAATGAGAATTGTCGAAACCTTACAAAATGCATTTCAACTAACAAATAATTATGGTCCAGATAGAACCCAAGAAATAATGGGAGTAAGAATTATTATCAATTACACAAGTTTAGGACAAGTAATATGATAATGATCCAAACACCTTGTACACGAACAATTATAGAGAAATTTTCTTGTGTACCATGGGATTTCCTTTCGAGTCACAGAATCTCAATGTTAGAATTTCAGTTATTTTGGACATACAAACGTTAGTTGTCCTGTGCTCCGTGGGCATGGAGTTTCCAGTCGATAATTCAAAACAACCTTATAAAGTTCAAAATATCTTGATCGAGTCGAACCTAATCTAATAAGAGGTTTGCCTGGGGTTTTCTCGAGTAATTTAGTATCGTATTAAGGAGATGCATCCTTTAATATATGTTACTAGTAAATGTTGAATATTATGATTTATGTGATTAAATTAAATAATATGAAAACTACGGAATAAAATTATACACTTAAATCACATGTTGATTTGGCTTCGTGTGTCCCAGAAGTGAATTTATTGATAAAAAGCATGATGCTTGATGTTACTCCATTGCCAAGTCATAAAGCCTTTTTTTGTGTTGGAAAGAATCTTTAACTTTAGAACAATGTGTGGAATTCTTGAAGTGTTTACGAGCCTTACGTATGCTCACCTAAAAAAGGCACTTGACTCCCATGTTTGATTTAAATATATCAACAATTAATTTTAATAAGATATTTTATAGATCTCGCAACCTTTTTCAATTTTCAACCACGCCTCATCGCCTTTTATCAAAATATACTAAAAATCTATTTTTAAAAAAATCAACATGAGCTGACTAAATTTCAAGAATAAAAAAATTTATTTTAATAGTAAGCAAGACTTAGACCAAATCGGCACAAGACTTAGGCGCTGTTTGAACCACATTCTTTCAAAAAACACATTTTCAAACATTGATTTGATATCATTTCAATAATATATTATTCAATAAAATAATATTACATGCTAATTCAAAACTTTTCCTTTTTTTAACTACACATTCTCCATCAATGTACTATTTCAAAATACACTCTTCCAAAATAATGTGACTCAAACACACACTAAGAAATAGAGCTCATCGTGACTCAATGAGACGTGTTATTTTCATCGACTTATTTCAATTATTTTTAAAACATATGAGTAAATTTATTAAGTCTTAGTCAAAAAATTCATTAGAAGTTCAAGAGTTCTGCATTTGGTTTGAGAATAGTGGACGAGTGGATGTAATTATCCAAATTTAAATGTTTTCAATATATGTGCATCCTCTTTAGGGAACACGTCGAAGCAATGACAAGAATATTTTTAGTAGTTAAAAGTTTCGATAGTTTAATAGATATATCTACACAAGTGCGCCCATTACCCAATCAAGCAAATGTATAAATTATCAACAATCATTAAATTATTTTATGGTTTATTACGAGACCATTTTCATCCACACATTCACACAATAAAATATTTTACACGTATACAAAAAATTCTTCCTTAATTTTAACCACACATTCTCCGAATCATTATTCAAAACTTTTTTTTTTCTACAATAATGATTGTCAAATAAGTTTTAAATAATACGAGATTGTAAATTCAAATTTAGCATATTAAATTTGAGGTTCAACTCAATTTGTATCTTTATGTAGAAAACTTAAGATAGATCGCTTTATTGTAGCTTTAAAATTAGTATCCAAGCAATCAACGTTGACAACCCTTTCGACTTTTTTTAACCAAATTTGAGAATTAATTGGTTTAATCTTCTTTTCCATATAGTATTTATTCATTCTTATTGATATTTTATTTCTTGACGTCTAAGATATGTTTTTAATATTACTTGATTTCTAATGAATGAATAAGTAACTAGCAAATTGCTCAAAAGATGACGTAAATTGATTAATAAATTCTCACATATTTATAGGGGATGAAATAAATAAATAAATAAATAGTCTCGATTCAATACAAATTGCCACATTTTAGAGCCTTTGGCTCTTGGAATTACAAAACAAAACCAAGAGTCGGAATGAGTGCTCCAATGTTGTTGTTGTTGTTGTCGTCGCACCCCCCCTTTTTTTTTCAAAAGTATCTAATTGAACAGTAAAAATTGAACAACTGATCACAACTTTTTAATTTGAAGGGTTTGAAGAGTTCTTAGGATCTATTTGACAAGCTTTTACATTAATTTTTACGTTTTTATAGAAGAGCTTTTTAAAAAGTAATCGTGGGCTTGTTTCCTTTAAAAGCTCATAATCAAATAAAATACGTTTATAAAATTATCCAAGTAAGTTGGAAAGTAATTTTTTTCCCGTGTAATACTTTATATCAATACCTAGTACATCATGACAATTAACTGCCCATTATTTCAAGTGAATCTTTCATCAGTTAGACATTGTACGTCCCTTTAAAATAAAAGATGCTGTAAATCAATATCAGGGAAGTCTGCAAAATTACCATATTTTACTATTTGAAATATATTTAATTAACTAATTTATAGCCTATTTGAGTGTTGTTTTGTAATTTTGAATGATAGACACATGAACTTGAGTTGACAAAGCAGGTGCAGAAATTAATGTATCGAATAAAGCTAAATGTACAAATGTAGACAATCATGTATTGTCAAAATTAAAATTTGTGGTGTAGAAAATAGTTTTATTAAATGGATGAATATGATACAGTAAAGTATGATGTTATCAACAAATATTGTACACATAACGTGATTCTAATGTGTCAATTATTTAATGTTGTTATCGATATAAAATTCATGTTCACGAAATTCAGTGTTCCCTTGAATTGGTTAAATGAGTTAATTGTCGAATAAATTAGATAGATTAGCTCGCTATCCCAATCCAATATCCCATCGATTTATGTCGGAGTAAGATCATGTGAGACGTCATGAAAATATCTTATGACATAACAAATGAAGTGTTTCCCATCGATAACAATACCGCTCTAACCTACAAATCAAGAAGATAATATAATGACTTAGGATACATGCATAATTTTTAAGTGCCATCTTGACAAGTCACAATCAAGCTCACCAACTAATCAAATTTCTTCAAACAGAATGCGACACACAATTTTAAGTAGAAAATATTATAGCTTGACATGATCAGAACGACAAATTTAAATCAATCAACTTATCTAAAGAAACAAATGGTGAATGAGAAGGAAATTCGAACTGAAAAGATTGTCTCTATACAATTACCAAATTTTAGCATTGTAACGCTTATTAAGCTCAAATCTATAAAAGATAATTTAAAAAAAAAAAAAAAAAACGTGACATTATTTTTACAACCCAAAATTGTATATTTATGATATCAGCCATGATTGTACGAATCAGCTACAGTGTTACATCGTATTGGGCAGACAGTGGGCCCCCACAAAAGTAATGGACACTTAATCAGTCACCGCACGAGCAGATTTGGTGATTGTCTGCCCTGTCTAAATCTGTTATTATTTAAAAAAAAAAAATTATTTCAGACGATCGATTGAAGATATGAAATTTATATTTATGTGAATGGCTCTTAAAATTTAGCACATGATTGTACAATAAAATATTTCTACAAAAGCATTATTGTAGAATAAAAAAAAAATTTGGAAAAATACACAAGGGATCCTCCGAACTCTATGTTACCATTGGATCCCCAATTTATTTATCTAAATCCTTGTTCGGTGTGGATTAAAATTAAAATTTTAATAAAATTTGATAAAAAATAATAAAATGTATGGCTAAAAATTTATGGGTCACATGAGATATATATTTGAAATTAATTATCGTCTTAAAATTTTCATCAATTTTTAATTTACAACAAATAAGGACTAGGTATGTAGTTAATTTCGTAGAACGAAGATTATTATGCTAATAAAAATTACTAGATGTAATATTTTTTTTATTACTAGAGGGTAGATTCCCTTAAGCCATAAAATTAGGAAAATAATTAACAGTTGATTCCCATCAATTAAAAAAAGAGATGATGACATGGCATCCCAACAATAATGCAACTTCTCAAATCATAAACAAATCAACGGCTCAGATTAACTCCTCCGTTTCTGGCTCTCCGTTTATCTTCCAAACAATCTTCCACTCTCACTCCCCCCTCTCCCCTCTCTCTCTCTAAAACCTCTCTTTTATCTCTCTTATTCCTGAATCCTTAATCATCAATCTGAAGTCTACAGATATATACATACACTATAGATATAGAAAATATGTTGTTAGGAAAGAGGATGCGTCCACCGATGAAGAGGACTACAAGCATGACTGAGTTCACCTTGGAAATCGACGTCGCCACCAAGTCCGGCGAAGGTACTGCTGCTAATTATCAGCTGTTTGATCCTCAAAAGCCAGTCAGTAGTGGCGGTTTAGATCAGAGGTTCTTGGCTACCGCCACAGCCGCCGCGTCTCCCACACCCCTTCGCCGCAATTCAGCAGATTCAGTCGAAACTGCTCATTTCTTGAGGGCCTGCTCCCTCTGTAAACGCCGTTTGATTCCCGGTCGAGATATCTATATGTATAGGTATAATATATACACATCCTCTCTTGTACTCAGATTCTTAATTTTATACAAATTTACCTGCAATATTTTCATGTTTTACAAAATATAAGATCGGTATGATAATTAATTAACGTGACCTAATTATTTCTCTAATTTATTTTGTCCAGAGGTGATAGTGCTTTCTGCAGTTCAGAGTGTAGGCAACAACAGATGACTCAAGACGAGAGAAAAGAGAAGTCTTCATTGGTCACGAAGAGGGGAGCTGCAACCGTCACCACCGGAGCAAAAGCCAGCGCCACCAGCGGCGAGACTGTACCCGCCGTCTAGATTAGTGATAGACATTACATATATCTGTGAGATATATATTATTTATATCGCGGTATATGTGTTATGCACCAACTTAGATTTGAAATTATGTAAGCATGTATTATGTATATTCGGGGCTGGTTTCTTCTTTCTTTCTTTCTTTTTTTTTTTTAAACCTATTATCTGATGGGATAATCATGGAAAAGGAGGGTTCCTTGCTTATATTTTCACCTATTAGGTGATGGGAAATTTATGGAAAAGCGTTCTTATATTTCCTGTCTCCTTTTCATGCTCTCTTCCTGCAAGATAAATTAATTATATGGATAAAAATATTGCAATGATAATTTATTTTTCGAGTTTTTCATGTTATCAAGTGATTCGCAGTAGATACGCTGTATATGATCACGAGCAACATTTGTTCTTTGTCATTTATCTACACTTGAGATTCGACGACTCTCAAGCAACATTTTAAGAAATAGTAGTTTGTTAACCTACATAGAATCTTACCTTTCAACTTAATTACAACGTTTTAAACAAATGGGTAGCGCAAGATTTTTCCAACAAAGAATAACTATTTTTTATCTTTGATTTTCTTGGCAAGATTATGAAATCTAAAGGATTTTCCACGGCCACCTTATGAATCCTGATTCCATTTGTGATGCATACAGCAAGTGATACCCACCCAACAAAGGCATTTGTTTTTAGTTTTTATATAATTAACCAGAAACTGAATTAAAAAAGAAAAATGCAAAATATTGTATTCGAAGGAGAAAAAAATTCCTTTTTGAAAGATACCAACCACTTAGATAGGATATTGCAAGCTTGAGTTCCAAATATTAAAGAGTAACTAAAATTATTATTTTATTTTACTAGAAATCATTGCTCTCAATGAGGTCAAATTAGGATTCATTCTTAGGGTTCTGCAGGAAATTTAAAATTTCTCACTTGTTGAATCAATGAAATTAGATTTGTCTAAGATCGACGCCGGACATGTTCAGCGCTAGAGCTCAGGCCTGCCACTCACGAAACTTGCAAATGTAGTAATTGTGAATGTGTGATTGAAATTAAAATTTGACCGAGTTAGTAGTTACTATTAGTGAAATCCAAACACACGGTAATTTTCTGGAGGGGCATGCATAATTTTTAATTTACACATTTATTTTTTATTTTTGTTCTTCCAAATTATTTTTCATTTTTCTTGAAATTATTTTATCTATTTATTAATTATTCCTCAATTTATTGTTTGGAGTGGAAGATAGTGGAAGGTGTGGCTATCATAGAAAGACACTGGAGCTGAGAGTGAGTTTGGTTGCAAAGGTCCCACTGCACTTAATTCGGTCGGAACCAGTTGGCTCCGCCAACTTTTGAGTCACTGGCCGAACCCAATGTACCACCACTCATTTTCGATTCCAACCTTCGATTGTTAACATTTTCACATTTTGCATTTAATTGTAATTTCATGGCTTATGATCACAGTTCGATAGTGTAGTAAGTTTATTGTATCACCTTTGACATAGTGTACGCAAAGCGAGAAAAGGGTCTGCGAGGTGATGGGGTAACTTCTAGATCTTCTATAGCACGATTCTAAATTGCGTGCTACTCTACATCTTGGTCACTCGCATTACGTAAACAAGCAACGTTCTTTCCTCCATAGTTTTAGGAGTGTGAGAAGTCACATTAAAGATTTGTTTGGCATGAGACTTTTGAGAAGTCAAAAGGAAATTTTGAAATTCAAAAATTACTTTTGAAAGTTGATTTTACGAATGCCCTTCTTATAGTTAGAAGAATTTATAGAGGAACTTAGTAGCCAATATGGCTTTCTTTAAAAAAAATTTCAAAAGAAATAACTACTTTAGAAATTAATTTCGGATATAAATACAATAGCTTATTAAGAAATCCTTCTACGAAAAATAAAAACAGAAGCAGAAGCATGCCAAACATGCCCTAACACAATAATTGCATAAACACGGCCTTTATGTTTTTTGTATCATATTTTATTCACAATCAAACTCATCAGTGACATGAGCATCAAATTGATCTCGACTCACATCACTAATTTATGGTCGATTAGTCCAACACTGTGTTTACCTCACATAAAAAGTACAAAATTTCAAACAATGGTGGACTATATAAATTAAATTAATTAAAAGTTCACTAACTACTTTGATATATGGGATTATTAAATAAAGTGGGGAAGATACGAGTGATATCTTGAGATGTCAAATTAAAGGTCCACAAATTGGCCAATTGTATGAGAGACTTGTGTAAGTTGGAATTTTAATGTATGGTGGATGCTTTCTCCAAGTTTTTACTTTATTCCTCGTTTGATTCTCTCTTAACTTGTAAATACAAAACAAATATATATGATTGTGTCTATAAATATATACTTGTTACGGCAATTGTGTATAATTACACACATGCACATGCACGTGTGCTGCCGTTCGCACCCCATTGACACGATCAGTTGCGGAGTTTGGACTATGATTTAGTAGGGATCTTATTTAAGGAAAAAATAAATTCAAAAACAAATATTGTTGGTGACCGACCGATGTAACACTTGACCTTGGATTCACTTCTTAAGTTATTTGAGAAAGTAAGAAACGAGATTTCCAGGTCGGCAGCACATTATTAACCAATCAAATGGATGTAATGATTATCCGATGACAAATGATCATGATCTAGGTCACAAACTGTGTCATAGGAGAAATGATGACTTGAACGGTTGATCTCTACATTCAATCAATACCTTAAAATAGGGAGATGGCGCACTAATCGAGGTCGGATAATGTAACTTGATGTGATTAAGGATGACATATCTTATAATGGCTAAAAATAGGGGCAATTATCCTTTTTTGAAGGTTGAACTTATCCACTTCATGTAATACACATTCATCGGCATTTTGAAAGCAGAGCTACTCCCTTCTTTTTTCTTTTCTTTTTTCAACAATATTTCAGTAATAGTCTTACTAAATTCATCTTAAGTTGATCTAAAATTATCACGTCGGTTTTAGTCATCAATAAATATAATAATACTAAAAGAAAAAGTGAAAAAAGAAAAAAAATCATTAATTTTTTTTGGATTAATAATCATAAAATTAAACAAGTTATCATAAATTAATGATTAAACGAAATATAAGATTAATTAAACTTTGGAAAGTTCAATATGTCATCAAATTGCACCTTAATCCCTGCCGTGTATCAGGAAACAAATGGGACAATAAGAAATAATTAATAATAAGAATAAGCTGTACTTGATTTAAGTTCACATAACTCTAAGATTTTTTTAAAAGTTGCTTATATTTTTCTTAAGTTAATACTGTAAACAATGACAATTATGCATATGAAAATACATTAATTTATAAACCCACTTGGCAAGTGGACATGTGTCTACTTCATATTTTGATTAACTTAATGCTGCACTAATTAATTATTGCTGGCTTTTTACTAAAAATATTTGGTGCGTCGTGTCATTGATTCGAAAGACTCTTAATTTCTAAATATAAATGAGTGCCAACCAATCAGAGTTTTCAAATAGTTGATTATGTCCTTATTATTATCACCTTGATGACTCTAATCATAATTATCATTGGTTTAATCCTAGTTAGTGGCAGAATTTTTCTTCTTACTTTTTTTACTTATTGGAAACATGAAAGCATTAATCCGAAACAAGTTTCTAGATTAAGCCCCTAATTGATTTGGTTAAAAATATTGATTAAAATTTAAGTTGAAATCAATAATTATTTTAACTATACATTTCATGGGACCTACAACTTTTCATTTTTAATCATTTAACTTTTACTAATATCTAACACAATAGATTTTTTCTCCAAACCAAACAGGCAACGGCGGACGCAGACATTTTGAACTAATGGGACATAATCAAATTGGAAAAAAAGTTGTAAAAAACTTAAGTATTCGATATATTATTATAATTGTTCTTTACGGGTTCTCATACTTTAACGTGAATGCTTAAAGAGACAAAATCGAATGCTTTGTTCATGATTTTTGAAGGATTCATACTTGATCCGAGCTTGATTGTGAGACTACTTGATTTTGCAATGTGTTCTCTAACAATTTCATTCTTTTTTCCAATTTGAGAATCCATCGTTAACAAATGTACTACTACTTAAGTTGAATAGATAATATTAGAAGAAAAATATATCATATTTTGCTATATTGTATTCCAACTAACTAGAATGTTCATTATACCATGATACACAAAATCATATATTTTAAACTATTATATGCTAAATTTATAATATAACATATAATGATCTATGGGATATCAAGTCTGTCTCGATAATGGAATTCAAATATCCCATAGATCATTATATGTTATATTATAAAAGTTTTAAAGTATTATATGCTAAATTTATATTTTTGTCAAATGCTATGATACATTCATAATTTTTATATAGAATAAATTTAATCTTGTTCACTTTTATTTATTGAAAAGTAAAAATTTGAACACTTAAAAATTCCATGCTTGGGCTCCGTTAAAAATAGATTTTGGAAAAAAATGTATTTTACAATAGTAATTTCAAACTTATCTGCATATTTCTATTTTTGTAACTCATCCTTATTATAAATTTGTTCTAAAATAGCCACCCTTGTTTGGTGGTCATTTTTTTGAAAAAAAAAAACATTATTTTAAATAGTGATTTTTTGAAAAATATGTGATTAAAAAGTAGATTTTTTTTTTAATTCACTTATATAAAACATTTTATTGTGAAAATGTGTGATTGAAGACAAACATGGCTTAGCATTTGGAGTTAGATACTCTTTTAAAATGTATATAAAATAAAATTGAATGATTTATTTTCAAATAAATAAAGAATAATGGATCAATATGACAAAAAAAGGGACCAATGATACTAATAGTAGTGCACAATACATTTATAAAATGCGCCAAAAACTAAAATTAGGCACAACAAGCATTTGTACAACCGCCTTCTCCATTCTCTCTCATTGGTAAGAGTAAATATGATCTTGCGATGTTTAAAAAAAGAAAAAAAAAATCTTTAAGCTAGTGGGTCACGTGACATACTAGGACCCATTGTGAGTTTGCTCATGCAAACAGGGTTAAAAGAAAATTGTAGTCACAGTGTTCAAATTTTGACAAATAGAACACATATAGGTCTTCGATCAAAATTTTTAGCTGGTCGTTAGTGGATAGAATTCGTTATGGTTGCGTGCCTACTTTCATGCTTGAGTTATGAGTCGCAATATGATTATAATGCATGAGTTATAGTCGTTCTTAATTTTTCTGGAATTA